CATTTTCCATATTTTTAAAAAATAATTATTAAAAAAGAAATTAGGCAAAAGACATATTTTGTCACTGACTCTAAGTATTCATTTTAACATGTGCATATATTCTCCAATATTAATATTCACTCATTATTAATAAATATTAATTTTCTTGTATACACGAAAGGTTAATTTTTCAGGTCTAAAATAAATTCTTTATGTAGTCTAATCTCTTTTTTTCTCATGTACAACACTTATTTAGCAGTATCTAAATCTTTGTGTTTTATGACATTAAATTCCTTAAATAACTTTTCTGTCAGCTTGGTCAGATGTTGGCTATTATTATGTTTAGAATTCCTGTTATTGTAGTATTAGATAATAGTCTTTGATCATCACTTACCTCCTCATTTTAAATATATTTCCCTTATAGTCTTGGATATCATTACTTCTTAAGTCCACATTCTTCTAAACTTTATAAAAGAACCAATATAGGAACAATGCACAAAGAACCTTGGTATACACAAATATTCAGAAATAAAGAGATCAAGTAATCCAAATGGATTTACTTTGAAGAACAGAAGAAAAATACTATTATAACAATTGTAAGAAATATTATAATGGGAAAGATTTTCTGTGACCATACACAGAAAAACAGAAAAGTGTGATTAATCAGATATCTGTCTATACTATCCAACTCTTTAAGATTATTTTACCATCCTTTGGCAAAGGAAGGAGGAAAAAGCAATACTTTCTTCTATTCTGCAATATTTGACATTTTATGTAATTATAAAAACAATTAGGAAACATGTCACTTGAATGGTTTTTGATACCATATATCCATCTCATAGTTGATATGTTCTGACACCTATTTAAGAAGATGTATACTAAGTTTTCAAAAAAATTGAAAAGCATCATGTTAACAGATGCATATCTTTCTTTAAAATACCATTTTAGTCACTGTCTAAATATTGAAATTGTTATTCAATTAAAACTCAGCTGAGTTGTGATCTTCTATTTGAGTAAATTATCATTAATTTCCACTTCATTAATTCAGCATTTTGGGTTATTTGACCAGGACTTGGATAGGTTCACAAAATTATGTGAATAGCATAAAATAGCATCATGATAGAAACATTAAGCTAATTAATAGAACAAACATGAAACAATTTGGAAGAACATTTCTATATATAATAATTTTGTTTAAAAAAAGGTTACCAATAGGCTATCTTCTTCCATTACTTTAAGTCTTTACTACTGTTAAGTACCTTCTCTTTCTCGAATGTTCACCTCTTCTGGATTCTATGGTGCCACATTGCTATCTGGCAAGGTTAAAAATCCACTACCACCTCTTGTTGGTAATATATACAACCAAGACTATGGAATTTCTTAGGCAATCTCACCTTCACTAGGCTATCTCTGGTTATGGCTTTTGCAGTCTGATTACATACTAATTGATTTCTAAGGTGGTCTCAGAAGCTTTATTATGAACTGTTCTAGGTGCATGCTATCTAGCTGAGGCCCTTCCTCTGCTCACCCATTGACTTGCAAGGGATCGATATAATACAGTTCTTCTGGTTTTATTCATTCTTTTGGGTGTTCTGTTGTCTCCTGTTTCCTAAGTTTGGCTTAATGTACTTCTTGTTATTTATTTTCCTCTTTTATTATATCCCCATGATTTATAGCTTGAGTTGCCTCTTTACAGCTGAATCCATATCAGCTTTGGTCCCTCTTCTGAACTTTGGCCCCATATTATAAACCACTTGTCAGACATTTTTTGGGTGTTTTACTCTCACCTCAAATTAACAGGTTTCATGCACTTTTCATTCTTCTCTGACATTGCCAATGACAACAGAATTATCTTTGTAATCTTCTTCAATATTCTCTTTCTTGTTCCACATAAGTTCTTTACCAGATTGCTGTTTTTATAATTTTTCTCAGATACAACATTTGTTAACAGTCTTTGCTTATTTCACCTCATTCGTTGACTGTTAATTGTAATTTGCCAACCAGTTCAACAACTAAAGTCTGTCTTCTCTAATCCATTCCATATACTTCAGCTAGATTTCTCCTCCTAAAACATTGATTTATGCATATCACTGTCTGGATCAAAACCACCAATCACTATCTATGCCCAATGGATTGGAGTCTAAACTTCTCATTTTTCATTTAAAACTTCATATATTCTGGCTTCATCCTACCTTTCCCCACTTATTTAAGAATATTCCCACTTCTGCAAACATAATAATTTATTTTTAATGCATCAACATGTCTTACATAAATATTCTCATGGCCTTTGTACACAGAATTTGCATCACCTACGATGCTGACTCTTATCCTGTCTATTAATCTGAATTTGAGCCATTTTCAAGGACAGCTGATGTCCCACTTTTTTCATAAAATTTTTCTTATAGTCTTTTTTATTGAACTCCTAAATAGCTCCTTTCATTCATTTAGCAATATTGTCAATGGAAAATATTAATATACATTTATTTATTTATTTATTTATTTTTATGTTGTATCTAGTCTCAGGGGCTGAGATTCCTGGGTCAGGACAACTGGAAAAACACTGTCTGTCCATGAAGGGGGGAAAGTGACCTGCATTCTCTAGGCATAACTTGGGCCCAGTGAGCAGAATGCTATTGGGGGTGTATCCTCCCTCTACCAGAAGCCTAGAACTGGCTGTCCCACAGCTCACTGTCACCAAAATGTCATGCTTGGATATAGAGACAGCAATGTTTGCAGCACTGGGTGGTTGGATGAGGGGAGGTCCTCATGTCCACATCCTTACCTGGGCTGCCCAACTTTAAACTCCCAAAATGGTGCCTTGGGCCTGTGACCAGAGAGGGTGGGGCCTCTTTTAGACAAACACTGTGAGCAAGGTGCTCGGTGGCATACTGTCCACTCACGTCTCAGTCTCACTGAGACTTATAGCAGAACAGTGGGAATTGTCCTAAGAGTAGGTAAGAGAGCTTGGGCTCCCTCTCCCACTCCTCAGCTGGGTGGAGCTACTCAGCCTGAATTCAGCCCAAGGGCAGAGAACTGCCTAGATTTAAATTCCTAAACTGGTTCCTTGGGCCTGTGACTAGAAAGGCTATGGTGTCTTCTAGGCAGATAGCTTGAGCAAGATACAGGGAGGTTGTGGGGGCATGCCATCCACTTACCTCTCCATCTCACTGCTGCCTGTAGCAGGGTGGTGGGAATTGTCCTAGATGTGTGTAGGAGAGCTTGGGCTCCCTTTGTCCCCTCTTAGCTGGGCTAGGCTGTGTCAACTCAAATTCAGCCTGAGGGTGAAATGCTACCTGGCTTCAAACTCCCACAATGGTGCCTGGGCTTGTGGCCAGAGAGGGCAGGGCCCTTCTTTGGCAGACTGTGCTGGCAGGAAACTGTGGGGAGTACAGTTCACTTGAGACTCCATCCCATAACAGCTGGCTGCAGAATGATGGACACTATCCTAGATGGGTGCTATAAAGCCTGGTTTCCCTGACCCTCCGTAGCCAGGCAGGGGCTGTGGCTGCATTGAGCCCAAACTTAGCCTGTGAGCAGGGTACCACCTGGTATAAACTCACAAAACGACACCTTGGGCCTGTAACCAGAAAGGCTGGGGCCCCATCCAGGCAGGCAGTGTGGGCAAGAAACCGTGGAAAATGCTGTTCACACAAGTCTAAGTCTCATCCACAGGCCACGGTAGGGCAGTAGAGACCTTCCCAGGCATGTGTGGGAGTGCCTGGGCTCCTCTATCCCTCCTTGGAGCCATGGAGTGGCTGCAGGCATGCCCACTATTCCCCAGTATCTAGGCTGTCAGAATGGCATCTGGCTCAAGCTGCTCTAGGCTCAGGTATCTGTGGGATTCTGGGTGAGTTCCCTTTATGGAACAATGTCTCTGTGCAATCTCTGGGCAGATCCCTTTGTTAGGCCCTAGACCTGCATAGGTTGGGATGGGGAGGGATTCTCTTGTAGCCAAGATTATAAAAGCTTATCTTGGAGAGTGGGGCTCTTGGTGCTTCTCTCTTATGATTTCACCACATCCAGGAGCTGTTATCCAGCCCCTGGCCAGGCAGGTTGTCCTAAATCCTCTTTTTTTCCCCACTTTTGGTGTTTCCTATCACTTCTCTGGTGAATTCTAGTTTTCTTTACTAGATAGTCTGTTAGAAATTTCTCTTTTCTGAAGTACTGTGTAATGGTTTGGGATTTGGTATTGGTGTGTCCAGGTAGTGACAGGCTAGGCTGTAAAATATCTGCCCATTCTCAATTTCTTATTTTAAAAGTTTATATCAGCCAGGAGTATTTGCATGCACTGATAGTCCCAGCTACCTGAAAGGCTAAGGAGGGAGGATTGCTTGAGCCCAGGAGTTTGAAGCCAGCCTGGGCAACACAGTGAGACCCCATCTCTTTAAAAAAAAAAGTTTATATCAGGATGTGTTATGTAACTGCAAGCTCAAAGAAAGTCAACATATGATATATCTAAAAGAGGAGATAGTGTAATTGTGATATTTTTAGAAATATGGTATTTAAGTAATTCTGTCAGATTCCATACTTTTCCAGTTTCTGACACATGACTTTAAGGAACAGGGACAGAACTCAGAACATGATAGATTTAGAGGTAAGGACCCAGTATGTTTGAGGGGAATCAAAGCCATATCTTATCAGAAATGACTGAATGATTTGAGGATGGTATTTAGCTCAAAAAGAGAGATGCTCCGTAAAAATACAGTACATATTTTGAAGGACTATTTTATGGTTGAAATGTCAGCTTGCTTTGTTTGGTTTCCAAAGGCAGAACCAGAAACAGTGAGAGTCAAGGAGGTATATTTTAGCTCAGTATCAAAAACCGTACTCTATTAAAGGGACTAAAATATGGAATAGGCAGCTATACAGTGTATAGATACTCCCAGGCTGTTGCAAGTATTTAGAAAGAAATGGTTACTTCTTTACCTTTATTCATGTTCCCCTTGAGCTTAATTTGTTCTTTTCTTATGTCACATATCACTGTCTATCTTGCTTAATAGTGTAACCAAATATTAGTGTGTGTGTGGGTGTGTGTGTGTGTGTGTTGTCCTAGAACTCATTCTTTCTTATCATTAGCTGAAGCTCCAGAGGTTAAGAACTATATAATCCTTGCTAAGTGCCCTCACCTCCACACCTATGCTGGATAAGCAAAGAATTTGGAAGAAAGATTCTGTGAATGTTAATAATCAACCAGTTGGTCTATTGGATGAGGATTGAAGGGTTGACAGAGAGAGGATACCTTTAGAGAGAGTTTTCCTTTAGTAAGGGTAACAGAGTAGGATGTCTTACCATCACATATAGCCAGTGAGAAGAGCTTCAAAGTTTATTTATATCCCCAAAGTTTAGGTAACTTGTGTCTCATTCTTGACAAGAGGATTCTAAAGGCAAGAAACTGTAGGTAGAGAAACATATTTGGCAGTGAAGACAAAAGGAAAGAAGGCTATCTTGCAAGCAAACTACACCTTCACAGTTAGAAAAGGTATCTGTAAGTTTTTCTTGAGACTCACAGGAAAGACAGAGTCAGGACAATCCTTGAAATGAATTTTATCCACAAAAGCTACCAGGAATGGTGAAGTCACCAGGAAGCAGAATAGATCACTGTAAGCCCAGGGGCTGAAGTTTCAGTTGCTGGGAAGAGCAGAGTCGTTATCTGCATCAAGGAAATTGCAATTGGAGAGATCTCATGGGCTAATCGTTGAGAAACCCATTAAACACCTCTAAAGAAGAAGTGAACTTTGAACATGCGAAACCCAAAGTGCATCAGTGCTAATGATGACAGTTCTAGCTAGCCACAGACGCCTGGGGATGGGGAAACTATTTCTCTTGTCCCTCTTTCCCTGGGCATCATCTTGTGATACTATGACTTGGGGCTGGGGGTGTAGCTGCCTCAGTAATGACCTTTACCTCCGCTAACTTTCCAACCTGACTTAGTACTGAGCTAAATGAGGAAAGAAGTCCACTGTTGACAGTTCAGAATTGTGATTATTACACTGGACTGGACCTTTTAATTACCAAAACAAGACTGCTAATATGAATAAAATGATGAAAGGATTATTAAGTCTCTAAGACTAAAAACTGTAGGAATTGCTTGATATGTCATCAGGGGCAAAAAAAGAATTACCCCACAGAGTTGTTTACTTATAATAAATAAGCCTGGAATCTATGGATTTATGAGGCATGCCTCTGTGAAGAATGTCATGTAAACTATACACATCCCTCTGGGGTATAAAATAACAATATTTCATAATTTAATTTTTTCCTGCTGTATGTTTTCAAACTCATCTGTTATTCTAGGCCAGAGGTGAATGTTTGACACAGGGAAGACAGACATGGAGGGAGACGCCTTCACTCTTCAGGACTTGCTGTGCCTTTTGGTTGTTTATCTCCTTGAAATTATTTAAGGATTATGATGGGGTAAGATCTCTGATTTATGTGCATCTAATTTCACAATCAACTTCTATGAGTTATTTCAGAACTTATGTAATAATTAGAACATACTGACTTTTTATCTGAACATGATTGAATAAACTATGAAACTGCTTAGAATTTTATATAATTCGAAGAAAAGCAGGTTGGGAAAGCTGGTTTGAAGACACATGGTGGGGAAGAATAAAACTGTTTTCTACTTGCGCCCTTGTGAGTCCAGAATGTTTAATAAGCCACTCACGATATTTATTTTTGCACATGCCTTTTATTCTCTTTTAGACTATAAGCTCCTTGATCACAATCGCCAGGTCTTCATTTTTATATTCTCCTCATTTTCTATTACAGAACTAAATTAAATATATAAAGGGTTCAAACATTGTATGGGGATTAGAGTGGGTTTATTCCAACCTTTATAGTAGCCAATTCAATTAAATATTTAAAATATTCAGTGTTTAAGTATTCATAGTTTGAGCCTATAGTTAAAAATATCAATTTAACAAATACTATTCTCTTAAACAAGACTTTTATAATGACAGATTTCCATGACCCAGAATTGAATTATTTCAAGCAATGCTTTTTCAAACACAGTATCAATGTACATATTTGGGTAATTCCATGAAGTTAGTTGCTTATAACTGGATTTGAATTGTGCAAATAATATATATGAAAACATAATTACATTAGGAATTACTTGAATTCTGGTACAATTACAATTTATTAGCCTGTGACCTATGAAGAGAGTTCATTTTTGACTAATTTTGTGGCTCCCTGAATCTCAATATCATAATCTCAATTCATAAAATGTGAGAAATAGTGATTGCCTTGCTTACTTACTCAATAGCTGTATGCAATAAATCCATTCAATACATATTTATCAAGTGTCTAATATGTAGCAGAATGGTAACTGTTTGTCAACTCTGAAGAACTATTTCTATTCCTTTCTGTATTCACTTTCCTTTGTTGAATTTAAAGTCAATTTTATTAAGGCATGATTTACATATTAAAGTGCTTCCAATTTAAGGGTGCAGTTTGATATGTTTTTATCAAATGTATGTATGCATAACATATATATACAGTAGTGTAATAAGCATAACAGTTCAGATATTAAACATTTCTCTCTCCCCCAAACCTTCCGTTATAACACTTTGCATTTAATTCCCAGACCCACTTCTACCTAGGCAACCATTTATTTCTATTACTAGAAATGAATTTTTCCTGCCCTGAAACTTCATATAAATGGAATCGTAAGGTATATACTCTTTTGTATCTCGCTATTTTGCTCAACATTGTACTTTCGTGACTCACCTATACTGTTGCTTGTATTAGTAGTCTATTCCTTTTAGTGAGTATGTATAGTCTGTTGAATGGAAATTAGGGTTGTTTTACATTTTGCAGTATAACTTAATAGGAGATTTGTTGCACTTTAATGGAGTCAATAGGAAGAACCATAGAGAGACTAACTCTTATTAATAACCAAAATACAAAGTATACATAGGCAATGGCAGTGTTAACTTTTTGAACAAGTCACATCAATTTTTATCTTGTGAGAAAATGGTGGGACCATTGGGTTATTTTTTGTGCTGTTAGCCACTCCTTTTATGATTATATAGATATCAGTTAAAACGGGTGTGGGGGGGAGAAGTCTGCTAATTTGTTTTTTATTTTTTGTTTTTATTTTTATTTTTGAGACAGAGTCTCACTCTGTTGCCTGGGCTAGAATACTGTGGCATCAGGCTAGCTCACACCAACATAAAACTTCTGGGCTTAAGTGATTCTTCTGCCTCAGCCTCTGAGTAGCTGGGACTACAGGCATGTGCCACCAAGCCCAGCTAATTTTTTTTCTATATATTTTTAGTTGTCCAGCTAATTTCTTTCTATTTTTTTTTTTAGTGTATGGGGGGGTCTCGCTCTTGCTCAGGCTGGTCTCGAACTCCTGAGCTCAAACTATCCACCAGCCTTGGCCTCCCAGAGTGCTAGGATTACAGGCGTGAGCCATGGTGCCCGACCCTACTTTGTTTTTTAAATAGTTGTTATAGTGATGTAAGTTAACTTTTGTGCACTATCTGCATAAAATGCTGTCAACGTTTTTTCATATTTTCAAGAACTTCTGTGAGAATGATTGCTAGAAGAATAATTCCAGGGTACATATATTTTAAGGATAGTTCCTAGAACACATACATAAAAACACTGTTTAGTAATTGGGAATAATTCCAAAAGCAATATAAAAACACATTACTTTCCTCCATATTTACAAGCACTAATACAGGAAAATATATTAAACCAAATCTTTGGGGACTTAAGTAATATTATGTGTCGTATACTTGATGTTTGAATAAGTGTTTACAGATTTTCCTGTAGTGGACTTTGATTTTTATTCTTGCACATTTTGAAGCTTGCTTGATTGTGAATGTGTATGCTAAGTTGGGAATTTGATTCATGCTTAACAGGGAGGTTTTATTTTTGATGGCCTTCCTTTTACGTTTTAGTATACTACATAATCCTCTACTTCTAGACTACGTCACTTTTACAAAGCCTGCTAACCTCAGGGTTTTTATTTCTTTTTTGCCAATCACACATACCTTACATATTGGTATTTTAATGAGGTAATATACTGCTATACTTTCAAGAGAGGGAAGGCAATTTCCTTTTTTGGTGGCAGTTTTCTTTTAAATATATGATTTAGTTTTTTAAGTTGATTTAGTTTTGAAAAGAAATATGATGCACACCTTATTTTGTACATAAGAAATAATTACTGGAAAATCCAGTAGCAAATGCAGTTATTTCCAGCTTTCAACAAGGAATATCTTTACTTCTTGGACTAGTATTGTAGTTCAGTTTTTAATTTCTTTCTTTAAATTATGAAGATATATAATTCTCTTTGAAGTTAATTTTGCTCCAAAATTGAAACTATTTAAAAGTCATTAGGTTTAAGTAAAGTTATATGCTTAGGTTTCTATCGTTCAAAATGTAAATGCTCTCTCAAAACTGTGAATGCCATCTTTTCACAGGACAATTAGACATATTGATCACAATTTTAAAATTTGAATGCCAAATTTAAAAATTGAATACAGCAATTCTAGAAAACAATCTAATAGAACACATGTTTAAGTATTCAAAATTACTTGTAAAAGAAAGTTCATTGCAATATTATCTGGAATATTTAAAAAATGCAAATTATCTGCATAGGCACTCTATAGTGGTGAGGGTGCTGTTTGCTCTGTCTTGGATTTCAATGCCTAAAACACAGCCTAGCATATAGTAGGAACTCACAAAATATTGGTTTAATATGTTCAATATGTCCAAAGAATTTTGTTCTTTTTAATGTTATTATGAATGGAATTGTTCTCTTAATTTCATTTTCAGGTTGTTATTGCTCATATCTAAAAATATAATTGATCTTTGTGTATTAATCTTGTGTGCTAACTTTGGTTCATTCTTTACTGTAATAATAAGAACCTTTTTCTTTATTCTTTCTTTCCTTAGATCCTCCTCCCCTAAGATAAGCTGTCATAAATTTTTTTAATCATAAAAATAATACAATAATTATTTATTAAAAATGATATATATTTGCCTAATAAAGTTAAATGATATAGAGAAGTATAAATGTTAGGTAGGTAGTGAGGGATTCTGGGTCTCCTAGGGACAAAGTAGTCCTCTGCCAGCTGGAAAAGAATGCAGAGGACTCTCTAGCTCCAGGCTAAGCAGCATGGGTACTATAGAGTCCGGGAAGTGGCCTAGAACACACATGCATAGTTAAGGCTCACGTCATGTGACTCCCAACTGTCTAATCAAAGTGGTTCCATAATGACCTCTGAACCACAAGGGAGGTCCCTATTTGGTCACTATAAAATAAGATGCAGACCATAGCCATTTTCTCTTTCTCTCTCTTTGCGTCCTTCCTTTGGCTCTCACTTTGCAGTGACGATGGGTCCAGTCATCATCTGTGGCATATGTACCATACTCTGTAAACCTATATCTTGCTCTTGCCCTATAATGCTATCTTTCTCTCCTCAATAAACCTCATTTTCATGCTTGCCTAACTTTGGTGCATCTGGTCATTCTTTAGCCATGAGCATGCCAAGAACTGACATTTTCAGACTAAAACGTGACCTAAAGAAAACTATAAAAATCAGTACTCATGTATAGCTATGAGTCTAAAAGTGTGTCTGTGAGCATATGTGTATTGATGGGTGTTTAATCACAGAAAGAGAGATTTCATTTTTACATAAATGGACCTTTGCATCTTTTTGTATAAATAGTTCTATATTTCCATTTTTAATGGCTACCTGATATTCTATATATTATAACTTATTCAATGTATTATAATTAGCTTAATTATAAGTCATTATTGAGTTATTTAAAGCTTATAGCCATTATAAATAAGACTGGTTATTCTGTATATAACTTTGAGATAACCTTGTGCGATATCTTTCTAGGAGATAATGATTGTTTGGCTCAAGAAATGCTCACACACAATCCTTGTATCCTATGGAATATTTATGAGATTTATTTCTTATCAATACTACATGAAAATTTCAATTTCAATACACCTTAGATAATGCTATATTTTCCAATTTTGAAATCATTTTAAACATATTTTAATAATTTATAATCTCTTCTATGTTATAAAAAATATGTACTCAATTTTCCTTAATTCAATAGAGAAAAAAATTGGAAAAACTGGACAGGTAACAATTTTAATACAGGTGTTATGTTTGAACCAGTGGATTTAGAATTTTAAGGGATATTAGTGGTTCTTTTTTCACCTCACCTCTTATTGAAGACATATTTTCTATACCAACTCTGACAGATAGCTATCATACATTTTAGTGACTACCTCCATCAACAGAGAAATCACTACCCTCAGGCAAATAAATAATTAGACATTTTAAATTATCACAATTTTTTTTTGTCTCAGGTAAAAATCTACCCTTTTGAAATTTCTACCAAATTGATCAGAATTGTTTCTGAGGCTATGCAGCTTTCTT